GCTGAGCCGTCGGCCTCGGCGGGCGTGAGCGCCAGGCCACTTTCCTGGTCTATGCCCAAATTGCGGCCTGGGCGCGGGGGAGGGCGCGCGCGCGGCCGTGGGCCGCTTTGCCGGTTGGGTCGAAGACAGTAAGAGAAATTGAATCAGTTTTTTTTTGTTTTCCTTTTTCCAGTAAACGTTTATTTCCTAGAAAATGATTAATGGCTCAAGAAAATTAGCAAAAGAATTTTTCCTATGGGTAAAATTTACCAATTATGTTTAAGTTTCCGCTGCAAAGTTTAAAGTTTATTATCTTCCAATTAAATTCGAACCAACGAGAGAATTTAATTTGAAGAGTTGTATTTAGAAAAATATGATTATGTTGATTCTCTAATTAAATTGGAACCAACGGAAAAATTTAATTAGAGAAGTAGTCCATTTTTGTAAGATTATGGTATTGTCACTTTCTGACCAACGTTGATGATGATAATATTATAAAGAATTTAAGTTTGAGGTTTAAATCTCTGATAGATTTCACACCAACATGGTTAATTTTTTAGAGAGCAGATAAGGACCAAGAAATGCTCCTGAACTAATAGAATATATTTTATTAACATGTTTCCGCTGCAACGAGGTTGATAATCTTCCAATTAAATTCGAACCAACAGGAGAATTTAATTTTGAAGAGTAGTTATATGGATTTCAAGTTAATTTCTGAGTTTTATGCATTAATTCTATTTTCTGTCCAACGGTGATGTAGAATTGATGCAGAAGCATATTGTATGTTTTATATTAACCGAGATCACTCGGCTGCATGCCAACAGGCTGCAATGCTGGGGTATATGAATGGAAAGGCTTGAGTCAAGCCAGTTCAGGATAGTTTTTTGTTAGTTTACTAGTTTTCTGATTAAATTGAAACCAACGAAAAGATTTAATTGGAAAATAAAGTATAAGTGAAGTTTTAGTCGTCATGACTAAGTTTTCGTATAGATGTATCCCGCATGGGGAGAAGTTTTGGCATAGTACTTATGCTAGTCAATCAGCATCGCGGGAGAAGTTTTATGATGACTCATATGTTTTTGTATCCCGCATAGCGAGAGAAGTTTGGGTAGCTCTTATGATATCCTAGTATTGAACATGGCACAATAGAAATGCAACGTCATGGTCAATACTAACCAAAGGATAAGAAAAAAAATGCAAGCGTGACTTGTAAAAGCACTGCTAATGAAAGACCTCGTTGAGTTCTCCAAATAAAATAAGGAAAGTATACTACTATACGAATCAAGAAATAACTATGTTTGCATGACATAATCATGTGAATGAAGTAAGTCATATATGTCTCCTCGTTCACAAGTTTTCTTAATAGTTCTCAAAATTATAGCAATAAAGTTCATGTCATATTTCGAGGGGGAGAATATTAAGATCAATTAAGAAAAATACTCTTCATTAAGAGTAAGATAAAGATTAATTAAGAAAGATACTCTTCATCAAGAGTGAGATAAAGATTAATTAAGATGTATGCGACCGTTGGAGGAGTACAACGGTCACAACATCGATACCCCTAAGCAGAGAAATAGCTAAATCCCTGTACCTTTTAAAGTTCCGACAGAAAAATAGCGTAGTCAGTCTCAAAGATGTTAAGGTGGTGCTTAAAGCGTCATATGAGATTTTAACGGATTATACCCAAAATATGAAATTTGAAGATATACTATCTTTAAAAAAGATAGAAAGATCTGGGGAGCATGGTATGTATAGGTATGTAGAGACTAAGACTTGAAGAGAAGCGGGACTGCGTGCCCACTTCAGTGATTTAAAACAACAAATTTCTTAATACCTGTTGATGTTGTATGACTTATACAACACTTGTTGTTGGCTCTTCGAAGAAGATGAATAATGTAAATAAGGATCTTGTGATACATGACCCTGTAGAATCAATTGCCTCTTGGCAATGAAGGGTAACAACAGCCACAATACAAAAGTGCCAGTAGCCGAGGCCACATAAGGTCTCAAAGAATTAGTAAACCAATTTTCTGATGACTATGAAGTCTATGTTAGTAAAGAAATTTAAATGAAGGGTGATCCCACCTCACTTGAAGAAGCCATGAAAGGCGTTTACTCGTTTAAATGGCAAGAAGCTATGAAAGTTGATATGAATTCGATGAGTACCAACGATGTTTGGGACATAGAAGTAATTCCTAATGGAGCCAAAACAGTAGGTTGTTAATGGGCCTACAAGACAAAATGTGACTACAAAGGGAATGTAGAAAGATATAAAGCACGACTTGTGTCAATATGCTTTAAGCAAAGAGAATGAATAGATTACAATGAGAGTTTTCTCTCTAGTCTTATGTAAGGATTCTTTTAGAATCATAATGGTGTTTAATGGCACATTACGATTTAGAGTTACATCAGATAGATATAAAGACGACATTCCTCAATGGGGATTTATATGAAAAATGATTACATGGCACAACCCAAAAGGTTTTATCGTGGAAGAAAAGAACATATGTGATGCCGCCTGTAGAAATCCATTTATGGGTTAAAAGTAAGTCTCTAGACAGTAGTATTTGAAGTTGATGAAACGATAAGAAAGTTTGGGTTTTAAAGAAAATGAGAAGGACAATAGTGTTTATGCAAAGCTCAAGAATGGAAAATTTATTTTCCACATCTTGTGAATAGATGACATTCTACTCATTAGTAGTGATGTTAATATGTCATTGAAGAAGTTTTATCCTTAAGTTTCAATGTGAATGATCTTGATGAAGCGTCATTGGTTCGAGGAATCGAAATTCATCGAGATAGAAGAAAAATAGGGTATTAGGACTATCACAAAGGCATACTTAGAAAATATTTTAAAGAAGTAAAGTATGCATGCGAGTAAACCTACGCCTGCTCCTATAGTCAAGGGTAATAGTTTTGGGAACGTGTTCCAGGAACTGATATGAGATCGATCAAAAGAATATGGTTCCATATGCTTTAGCTGTTGGAAGCTTGATGTGTGTACAAGTACAAGTAGGAATTTACCCTGACGTAGTTTATGTATCCAGGTTATTTTGGCAGAAGTCCAGTTCAGATATAGATCACTAGAATTGAGTTGAGAATGTCTTGCAATTTTGCAAAGTATCATAGGCCTCATGCTGAGTAAAAAAGAATAAGTACTCTCAAATAGTTGATGGTACAAAAAGTTAAGTCTTGACGAGATGTGTAGTAAAATCCACAGTAGTTGCTAACACTCGTAGTTGGAGTATTATTGTGGAAAAGCTCTAAAGAAACAATTGTGGTGTCATCAGTGATGCATACCATAGTATAGCTTGTCATGAGGCTTAAGGAACAGGCAAAAGAGGTTAAGGGAATATGTACCCGGATTTAATAATGGTAGACAACAGCAATAACCATTTAAAGTAAGTTAACTCCTAAGACAATAAGTCAAGTGTGCTGCCAAACACATTGACACTAAGGTATACGTTGTAAAGGAGAAAATCGAGAATCATTTTAAAAGCATTGAGCATATAAGTACCGAGTAAGTACTTACGGATCCGCTTACCAAAGGCTTACCACCCAGTGCGTTCAGAGAACATACAGTCGACATGGGGTTATGGGAAAGCCTATAATTTCTGGATACTAAGGGCCTAGTTGAGTATCTGTTTCAAAACAGAGAGGTGCGTTGTAGCTGTTTAATCTAATAGTAACAGACCATGACGATGAGGCATGCTCTATGCACTGATCTGTGATGGAATGAGAATAAGATAAAGTAAGTAAGTTTAGTTTAAGAAATAAGGTGAGATCAAGGAGAAGATTGTTAGTTTGATCTCTACCAATTGGCCCAACGGCCAATTAGGCCCTTGGATCAATGCCCTGATCGGGGGCGCCCAACCGCTCAATGACTGGTGGGCCCCCGTCGCACAGCATCATAAAGGGAGGTGGGAGCTGGGGCACAATCTACGAGGTTGACCTGAGCCGCCGTAACCCACCCACAGAGAAACCCTAACCCGATGTAAAGGGAGACGGTGCCGCCAGCGATGGGAAGCCGCCACCGACCTCACCGTCTCCTCTTCATCACCGCCAGTGGACCGTGTCTCCGCCGCACGGCGTTTGACTACGACACTGTGCCACCGGTGGCCACGTCACTGCGGCACTATGGTCGCAACTGCTGGGGCGAGGTACAGGAACAAGTTTCCCTATCTAAGCTATGCATTTACCCATTGATCTGCACCTAGAGGTTCTAGATTTCTATCAGCATCATCATTCTGTCAATGTGCCCCCACATGCCCAAGGAGGTCCAAACCTCCTTTGCTCGATTACAAGGAAACAAAGCGTGCTTGATGTCTTCTGCTTTCGTTTGGCACATAGGACAGTTAACTGCATTGGTGATATGCTTATTTGCCAAGATCACATGGCATGGAATACAACCATCAAGTGCACGCCCTGCAAAAAATTTCACCATGCTAGGAATGGAAAGCTTCCAGAGTTTCTTCCACACCGAATTCGAGCCCGACCCTCCCGCTGATGATGCAATAGGCCTAGACCCGAATTTGGATGTCCATTGACAATGATATGCTGATTTGACTGTCAATAATCCATTCTGATTGAAATGCCAGGCCACTAAATCCTCCCGCCCACTATAAATTGGACATTGCACCTTCCATCAATCGGATTAATAAGTTCCTCCACCTTATTAGAGACCAAAGTGTTTCCTTTTGGTGTTAGGACCTTCATATTGTGACTACCTGGAATCCAATTATCACTCAATCAAGGTCATCCTCCTCCTCATGAGATATATCCATATCCTCGCCCTCCTCTTCTGTCCACTCACCACGCCCTACTCCTCGGCCACCTCTCCCACGATGACATCCTCTTCCACCTCTCAGGTCTCAGCTCCTCCCTTCCAAAGACCAAAAGTGCAAAAGGGACTCGTAGCTAGTCCCTCCATTCGTATTTGTCCCTGCGATGAACTCCATCTCCACACACTCCGTGACTTCGTGCCCCATCTTGCCACAATGGAAGCAGAACCCGGGAGCTTCTCATACTACACTAAGTACATCATTCTTTTCTTTAAAAGTTATGGGAACCACACGCACCAGCGGCTTGCTCAGCTCAAGCCAGACCCTAGCCCGTAGATATGGAGTCGGGTTGATCTTCCCTTCGTTCACTACCACCGTGATTAAGTCACCCACCTTCTTCGCTACTTTCTCTGCCAATTCTCTCTTCTTCATCAACCCCTCAGGGACACCTTGGATGCATGTCCAGATTGGGATTTTATCCAGCTTATAGTTATTCACGGTTGAGAAGCCATCATACTCTTCAATTACCACCGCCGCTCCTCGAAACAGCCATGGACTTCCATCCATTACCCTCGTCCAGTCACCAAGGCAGTGTAGTTGGACCAGAAAGAGATTCGGTGCCATCACCTTGAAAGTGACCTCCTTTGCCGCCGCCTAGGCGTTCCTCATCGCACTGAATAGAGCCGCATGGCTAAACGGTTTCGTTGTATAAACCCTAAACAGGCGAACCAACGGACATCCTTGATTAGTTCCTCAAACTCCTCCGAGAAGTCCAAATCTTCCTCCTCTTCACCCTGCAGGTTCAAGCCCTCCAAACGCTCCTCCAGAGTTGGTTCGGGAGCACCATCATCCAGGCCCTCCGTCTTCTCCTTGCCCTTCTGCGTCGCCATGCTCGTCTCTCTGGCAGCGCCCAGACTCGCCACGCACCAGACCGCTGCTCGGCCAGGCCCTTCGCTTCCGTCCGGATTCGTCACGCAAAGGACCGCAGCTCGTCCAGGCCCTTCGCTTCCCCCCACTCTCGCCGCGCAAAGGATCGCGTCACGGCCAGGCCCTTCGCTTCCGCTCCGACTCGCTATGCAGTACGATTCCAAGTGGGCCGAGTCCACTTGACGCGAAAGTCGAAGCACTACAGGCCCATCTCGTGTTAGCTACGGTGCTAGAGACGACTCCAGCCCGGCCCAATGAAGTCTACAGGCCGAGCTCAGGCCAACCATCCTACGGGTTCCAGCATCTGGTCTTCTGCTCAACAGCAAGTCAACAACCCGGTAGAGGACAATATTTAAAATTCAATATTTTTGGTGGAGAAACAGCTTGATTGATGTGGATTTTGGTCAAGATCATAAACTAATCTTTGTATAAGATTCGTAAAGTAAGCAACAGCCCGTCTTTGGCGCTAATCGGCCTGTTCTTTGGTTTTTAGACTGATAAGTCCGACTAGTGCTGATTTGTTGTGAGAGAAAAATAATGTTGGCCGGATAATAAACCCTGACTGAAATCCACTTGCAAACAGGCTGAATGATGCGTGTCTTCACCAATTAGCGTCCAAAATCATTGCGCGGAATCTCAGAGGTTGCTCGAACTAACATTATTGATTATTCCCTGCACCCGCAGTGCGGTGCTACGATCGAGATCGGTGGTGGATCCTCTTTTCTTTTCGTTCTAGCGAGAGAAAAAAATGTCGCCAACGAAAACGACGCATTCGTATAATTCTGTAGAAGAGATTTATGTACAACTTTCGGTTTGAATTGATGCAAAGTTACAAAAGACGCTCAAAAATCGATACAGGAAGATCACACGCGACGGCCGAATTTACACTTGCAAGGAAAGGGAATGGATCGTGGACGAGAAACGGGAGTATTTACGACGCAGAGAACTAGACGAGAAAGAAAGGGGAATCCATGGATCGATGGCGGCATGCCAGCATCACACGGGTGCGAGCCAAGGTCAAGCCAACAGGCGGCAGCCACTCAGAGGTCCTCGGCGATGCAGGCGAGGTGCGGCTGCCACGGCGCGGCGTGGCTGCCGGTGCTCATGCGCCGCCGATGCTGCTGCGCGGCCGCCCTCTTGTGCTGTTGCTTCTTCTTGGCGGCGGGCGCGGGCGCCTCCTTCTCCGGCGGCGACTCGGCGCCGAGCCCCAGCTGCCGGTCGGTCACGGCAGCGACGACGCTCCCTTCCGACTTGCTGCGCACGTGCCGGCTCGGCGTGCCAGCACCGCCGCCGGCGGCCTTCTTGGCGTCGGGCACGGACGCGGCCGGGATGAGGAAGTAGATCTCCCCGCGCTCCAGCTCCGAGTCCGGCGACACGATGAGGATCCTGCGCACCACCCCCTGCGGCGACGAGCAGGGCCTGCTGAGCACGTGGTTGGGGTGCGCTGCCAGCACCTCCCCGGCCGACACGGCGCGGCCGTACTCGTCGACGCGGCCGCTGAGGTGCACGATCCGCACCAGGTCCAGCGCGCCGCACGGCAGCACGCACGCCAGGCAGCACCGCAGGCTGTTGCCCATGCCGCCGCGCCTCGTCGTGTTCGGTGCCGCGCCTGCGCGCGCCCGGCTTCCTCTTCTCTTTCTGTCCTCACGGCGTGACGACGCGGCCAGCACGTATATATAGTTGGTGAGCTCGAGTTGAGGACAAACAGAGAGCCAGAAAAAGAGAGCCAGAAAATGTACTTTGGGGTGATTAAGACTAACCCATAGTGGGACACAGAGAGACGAGAAGAATGGATTAATCACGTCATGTTTTCCCCCTTCTTGCGAGGAATAATTAACTAGTAACTAGCAAACAAATAATAATGTAGTAGGTAATTAGTAGTGCCCATGTTCCGATAATCATTTTTATTTTGTTTTCTGTTTCAGAGGCAGCGGATGCGCCAATGATTCGCACACGGCAGCACTCATGCGCACAGCCATGCTGCCCTGCTGGAGCTTGGTTGTAATGTATCCTTCCTCTTCCTCCTCACTGATGGAGTGTATTCAGTAGCACTGCAATGCAAGCGATGCGACGAAGCGAGGACGAGTGTGAACGCGGCATTGGATGGATCATGGATGCCAGAGATTGGGCTCTGAATTATTCAGGCATTTTTTATAGGAAATAGAAATATTATTAGAGCGGAATTATGCGTGTACATACAGTACTGCTGCTTGTGATTGATGTTTGGTACACGTACTACGTACTTGTACAAATGCTCCAAAACGGACCCGGCCGTGCAACGTCTTTTTCGTGAGCAGTGGGTGATCATTTGGGGGGCAATGTTGTAGGGGCGGGTTAAGTTACCTGCTGGCTGGAGTGGCAGCTGCTGTGGTAACCTCTGTCCTCCGCCAGATCCAACAGTTGATCAGCAGCCAGGAATCATTAGTGCGGTAATCATAGGATGGTCTTACAGAAATTGACAGCTTCCGTCTGTGTGTGAGCTGTGAGTGTGTCCGAGGTACGTACGCGCGGGCAGGTGGTACGGTAACGTGCCAAGTGGCAAGTGAATGGAACTTGCTAGTAGCAGTAGCAATGTAGCAGTACATGTACCTGTACCTTGCCTTACCATACGTGTGCATGTGGTGGCCGCACGTGGGGGGCTTCCATGCAAACAGTATTACCCACAGAAACAAGTGGCCCTCCCATGATCCCATCCGTCCACCGATCCGATCCGTCGCGACACCATCACGACACGTGGCCCGCCGGCGCGGCCCCCTGTCCACGCGGGCGTTGTCACCTGTCGATCGAGCGGATGCGCCGGTACACCGAACACGTTCCCAAGTTCTTCTCCACGAATCGGCATCGCGATCCAGGACGGGACGCGCCCGTGTCCCACGGACCACGTGTGAGCGCGTCGACCTCCACAACTTGGCTTCCAGTCGGCCAGTCCGTTCCTGGTGGACTACAGCCACGGCCACGGCCCACGGCAACATGATGGGCTAACGCGTGCGGTCTCCAGTGCCTGAGCCCATCTACCACCGGGCTTTTCAGACGGGCCACACGCACAAACTCCGGCCTGCGTACTACTACTCCCACATCGTAAAAGCAGCCCATGAGGACTGAGGAGGAGAACTCTCTCTCTCTCTCTGCAAAGGCGGTTCGGTTCCGATCGCCGTGCGACTGACCGACCCGACGACGGCACGACGCTACCTGCCCTTCCTCGCGCTCGACTCACCGGCCCGCGTCGTTGCGTTCCATGGCACGCCTTGCCGTTCTTGGCTGCTCACACCCGATGCGTCTTCAATTCGCCAGGCAAACCTTCTTCCATTCTCGGTTCCTCCTCGACGGAGACGCGAGCCGCGTCTTCCGCGAGTGCGCGCTCGTTCATCTCCATCTCTTTCGGCCTTTTCTGCGAGTGATCTGATCTTTCATATGAACAAATAACTAACCTAGCATGGATTCCTACGCATTTGCATTGTAATTACTATAGTCACGAATGAATGGCTCCACGTCTACTGTCATTCACCTTCAAGTAGTCATTTACATTCTTCGGTCTGTACATGAATATGTCGTTATTAAATGCGTAGCATGAAAGTTCTTGAAGTGCCCACAACTACAAGTACAAGCGAACGCAGTACTAGAGAATTTGCAGGAAATTCGCCTTTGTTTGGTTAATTAAAATCAACCTGCAACGTTTTGATCACCAACTACGTTGTGCACGTTGACTATAAGCACTAGAAAATTCTATGGGCAGTCCTTTAAAAAAAAATATAGTTTCATAATCATAGAATTTGTACTAGTTATTATCAAATTATATGCACTTTTCCTATCTACCAGGTGCCTGATTTCCTTTAATCCGTCCAGGCGACGTAGCAGCTGTTGATCGTGTTTTGTTTTTTGTGCATGATCAAACTCTCTGATGGAATCAACAGCTCTACAGTGTCGCCTAAGAGGTGGCTACTTTTCAGGCACCTGTAAATTAGCATCTCCTGATTATATGGGTAACTCTGTTCTCTTAAAATATGGATTCATTCTGAAATGCTTGACATTTAATTTTGTCCATTTTCACCGTATGCAATTTCACCAAAAAAAAAACAATTTTAACATTTTAAATAAAATGTACAGACAATAATTATCGCTAGTTGTGGTGGTTGGAACTAAATCCAGCCAATTCAATTGGCTTTCAACCGGAACAAATGGCCGAAAAGTCAACCGCAGCCGCTGCCGCTAGCTGATCCGGCGGGAGAGATACATTTGCAAAATTTTAGCATGGGATTTTTTTTAAAGAAACCGATTATATAAAGATTTTTTTTTTCCACAGCAGGCTGAGGTTCTATCGTTGCTCAACTCAAAAGCCCGGTGGTGGCTGGGCTGAGCCGCTCAGGCCCAGGAGCGCAGGCTAGGCAACCCAACGCACCGTCGCCCTTCCCGTTCCTCACTCGCGCCGCCTCCCTCCCACACGCGCACTCGCGGCTCGCGCAGGCAAGGCGCCGCCGCCGCCGCCGCTCAGCGCCGAGAGGAGCAGCGCTGTCGCTCAGCGGCCGCCGGCGACGAGCCTCCGCGGAAGCCAGCGGCCCTACCGGAGAGGCAGCGAGTTCTTCTTTCTTCTCCACCGACGGGACAGCGCGTGGATCCGGCGACCTCTGGGCTCCGGGGAGGCGGCGACGGCGAGTGGTGACTGCTGATAGGTGGTGAGTTTATTTCCCTTCTGTCTCAGCCCTTCCTTAGTTTATTTGACTCAATTTCTTCTTATGAGAGCTGATGTATTTTGAGTGCAGCTAGAGCGTCCACGTCGACCATTGCCTACTTGGAAACTGGAACTGGGCTGAGCGGATGTAGGCCGTTCGAATTCCAATCGCAAGGTCTGCTCTCCTTTGACGTCTCCTTCGTCAAGGGCTTCCATGTCGGAGACTGAATCGGCGGCAGTGGCAGCGGCGCCGGACCCGGCGGCTGCAGCGGAGCCGAAGCCTCGGCGGCTGCGGGGGCACAAGAAGGGCGCCGTCACCTGCTGCGTCGCCTCCTCCGCCCGCCCGGGTGTCGTCGCGTCCTCCGGCGAGGTAGGCGTTTCCATCACGCTGCTCGTCTACTCTTCCGAGAACAAACACTGTGCCGTACGATGACTCGGTGTCCTGCTTCGGGAGTTGTTACAAGGGCGCCCCGTGGTCCATGGGCGTCGGCCAATAGTTGCAGTGCAGGCCATGGTGTCTTTCGCTGAGGACACGAGTCGAACACCACATGTGCAGTGGTCGCTGGTTAAGTGGTGCTCGGTTGAGACATTTTGTCGGTCGGGTGGCAAACCATGCGCTGACTGCACATCGAGCTAAGCGTGTTGCCAGAACAACGAACCGCACCTTGCGTGCTCCTCCTTGCATTCTATCAACGCACTGGATGGAATATCCTGTGTGGGATTAGTAACATAGATGATTCTTTCGAGTGTCCAGTGACCATTGTCTCCATCAAAGTAAACTATCTGGTAACAATCTTTTAAGGTTATGCCATGCCCCATGTCCCCATGCCTTTTTGTGATTTTATCCATTATATCCATTCGGTATCACAGTTTCATTACATGTTTCATGCTATGTTGAAAGCACCAGTAGGAACTAGGAAGAGATGAGATTTTCATGCGGTAGTATACTGGTAGGCAGAGAAGAGAAGGCAATCCATCACTAACTACTTGGTCACTATGCTGGAAATTCTGGTATCATAGGGTAGTTGGTGCTCTCCTTGTGTAGGTCTCCTTTTTAGCGACTTCCAATGGCGTGTTTTCATGAAGAGGGAGAGTTTTTCATGAAGAGGGAGAGAAACAAATAGCGATTACAAGAACTAGGTAAGCCATGGCTTACCCAGAGAAAAAGGGACCCAAGAGTATTTTTAAGGACTGTGCATAGTTAATTCGCGACTGGATTGACCTGGGGTCTAAACTGAAACCCATGCTAAAAGGTTTAGTAACAAGATTCGACAAAGCCCAGAGAGCTGAGAAGCCTGCTGAAATCCAAAATTCAGCTTCCTCCACAATTGCATGGGTGAGCACAGTTAGCGACGGAGCGACCACAATAGTTATCTGAAAACTCTCATTTCTCTCCTTCCATAGCAGCCAGGTAACCAGCAGCACCAAGCAGTCAAACCCTTCCCTGAATTGTTTGTGCACCTTCTTTCTAGCTATCTGCCACCATTGTGCAATTGTAGACTCAGGGCGTGGTACAAGGTGTGATAGGCTTCCCTACGAAAGCAGGCACCACCAAACCTCCCGACTGTAACAGAAACCAAGAAGAAGATGATCAATGGATTCTAACTCCTGACTGCACAACGCAAAACTCATGGTCCCTGCAGCTTATGACGCTTCCTGTGTTGCGCCATCCAGCAACGATCTTGGAGGACTAACCAAACAAAAAACTTAAGTTTGGGAGGCGCTCTAACTTTCCAAAAGTTCTTTTGCACCTGCCATGTAAATTGCTCCAATGAAGATTGCTCTGTAAGCAGAAGACGCCGAATACTGACAGTCTGCAGACCAGCGACAAATAAATTGTTCTTCCGCCCTGGCTGAAGAGAGAAAGCTTCTACTTTCTCCCAGATATCCAAATATTCTTGCATTACCTGTACCTTCAGAGCACCTTGAATTTTTGAAACCCAGTGGTGATCAGTGATTCCTTCATGCACATTCATACTGTCACATCTCTTTGGGACCGCATGAAAAAAGCTTGGTGCCACGTGCCTAATTGAGGAACCATCAAGCCAGGCTCAGAAGATCAACCCAAGTACGATCTGGGTCAGTTCTGTGAAGCCATTCCCACCTTAATCTGAGGGCACACCCAAAGAGACAGAAATCCTGGAAACCTAGGCCACCAAGCTCAGTAGGGTGACAGATCAATCTGTTCAATGGCCCATACCGACAAACAGGTGGCAATGGAGATGAATATTGGAATTGCAGAGTGTGTGACATTCACCAAGGTTGTCCGCCCAGCTAAATTTAGCATGTTGCCCTTCCAAGTGGGAATTCTATCCACAATCATGTCCACCAACGGCTGTTCCTTGCTGTGTTCAAGCTTGTAGATCGAGAGAGGAACACCTAAGTAGTGACAGGGGAAAGGAGCAATCTGACAGCCTAAAATCTCCTGACCGAAGGCAAGTTCAGCCATGGAGCACCAGATGGGTGTCACCTGGCAGCTGGCACTTGTCCAGGTTGGTCCGAAGCCTGGTCAGTGGTCACCCCCTCGTCGAATGTACCCAGAATGCTTCTGAAGTCAAGACCAAAAAAATCCCATTGAAGTGGAGCGACCAGGACCACGAGATCATCCGCACCAGATGCTTGGCACGTGATGGCACTATGGCCCAGTGGCTTGAGAATATCACATTGTTCCGCCAAACAAATCAGTGCATTCAGCACCTCCATGACAATAACAAAGATCATTGGCGACAATGTCACCCTGGCACAGACCTCTCGCATGGCCGATCCGCCTCCCAGTCCGTCCGTTTAACAAAATCTTCGTGCTTGTTGTTGACAAAATAAATATAAATCCAATCATGTCATCCTTGTAGTGCTCCTTTAGCTCAAAATTTTCCTCACCAGCGGTGAGGCTATTGCAGTAATCTTATGCATATGATTTGTACTATTTGCCTCCCTTCCCCCGTTTTTCAAGCCCTTGGTGGGTTAATTGTCATGTTCTCATGTCTTATCCTACCGCCTCAGGATGGATGTCTTTGCTGGTTTGATCTGCGCACCAAAGATGTACTTTTGACCATGGAGGCAGCAAATAAACCAATTTCTTCAATTTGCTTTAAACCAGGTCAGTATGCCATCCAAATACAAGCATCTTTGTATGTTAATCCATGAATTGAATATTTGGTGAGCGTGCAGACATTTTGCACTTACAAAATCATTATTTGTGTAGGAAATGAAGATTGTGTGTATATCTCTGCTGGAAATGAAATATTGTCCTTTGATGTTCGTATGGTAAGTTCAGAATTCAATTGTATTTTTATTGTTAGTTTGAAGTTATATGATCCAACTTACTATTATGTTGCCTGTGCCTTGGTTTCTTGTCAGTAACATGATTACAGTGGTTTTCTTATAGGGAACTCAATCAAAGCCATTAGAGACGTATAACTACAATAGAGATGAAATCAATCAGGTAGTATGCTCTTCTACAAAACCACTATAAAATATCCTCCTACTGTGATCTTTCTCCTACATTCAATTCTAGGCTTTATGATAACATTGAATTGAGCTAAAGATTCAGAATCTGATACTTTCACTTTTGATGCAGATTGCTGTCAGCTCTAAAGGTTTTCTCGCTGCTGCAGATGATAGTGGGGATGTTAAGGTATAGAATATTAAGTGTATGAACATAAATGTCAAAGATCATTGCATTTTAACAAATATCAAATACCACATTCTCCAGATTTTGGTGTTGGCTATTTTGAGGTTGTTGCATGAATGTTTTGAAGGGGAGCCTTGGCGCAGTGGTAAAGCTGCTGCCTTGTGCCCATGAGGTCACGGGTTCAAGTCCTGGAAACAGCCTCTTGTAGAAATGCAGGGAAAGGCTGCGTACAAAAGACCCAAGTGGTCAGACCCTTCCCCTGACCCTGCGCAAGCGGGAGCTACGTGCACTGGTGCTGCCCCTTTTTTTTTACTGTTTTTCCTGCTTAAGGTATATAAGCATATTGTATGGAATTTATTTTGGAATGTTCTGTTTCGAAAATGGCACAAATGATGCTCCTGAAGAATAAGTTTGCTGTAAGATCGTTTGTCATTATGAATTCAAATTTACCGGCTTATATATTTGTGCTTTGTTCTGAAACCAAGAAGAGGTTGTTATGTTACACTTTTTGAATCGCATGTAGATTGCTAGAGGGTTTGGGAACTGGAGAACAGTAGAATAAATGCCTCGAGTTAGAAGAAAGATATGTGCAACACACTGATAGGCATGATTAATCTTGTACTTGTTCAGTGATTTTGTTCTTGAGAAGTTATGGTCTATTTTGCAGATTGTCAATACCATTCAGAAGTGCCTGTATAAAAGAATAAGGGAAGCCCACACAAGTGTATCCTTATCTGGTGTAACTGGATGCTTTTGATAATTTTTATTTGTAGTAGCGTTCCATTTTTATGTTTAAAAATGTGCAATAAGTTCCTCTCTATATGCAATATGTACGTCAGTTGTTCCTTGATAAATTTTCGTACAGATTTGCAGCAGCGTGCAATTCATTCCTTGGAGACCTTGGACAGGTTAGTGTTATCATTATCTTTTTCTTTTTTCAGGGTTTTGTTTGGCTTAATCTTGTAGTCTTGTGGCTCCTTTTTTGTCAACCATTTAGGGAGCCAATCCTAGAAAACTTTGTTGGATTTTTAATTCTTATTTTTTTTCAATGCCTTTATTGTCAATAATAAATATTTTTCATTTGGCAGCAATTACTGGTGGTCTCGACTCAAAGCTCGTTGCATGGGATTTCTCCAAAGGACGAACACTGTTTTCTATTGATTATGGTACCCCCTTTACTTTCCATGGAACACCTGTGAATAGCGTGCATTACTTAGACTGCTCCATGTTCTTTTTGTCGTTGTAAAAGAGTATCCTAGCAGTTCCTTGATCTCATACATTTCCATTAAGCATTGGTAAATTGAGCCCTCATATTGTCCATTGGAAAGTCGGTTCACCTTGCTTTACATAGAAATATTAGTTTCTGTTCATGTATTGCTTTTCACCTCAAAATACTCTCCAATTCGGATCAATCAACAATTCAACATAATATTCATTACTGAGTTTCAGGATCACCTGAATTGCAAAATGGCAGTTCTTCCGGTAGTGCAGGGCAATGTTTCAACCCTGCTTTTGTTCATTCAGTAGAAGTTTCTGAAGAGGGTATTTTGGGAGGGCTCTACAAGGTTTGTGCTGTTGCAAGGGGGGATGGTGCTGTTGATGTGGTTGATCTTGAGTATGAACTGGCTCCTGCGAAATCGAAGGGAGCTCCTCGGGCAGCTATTTCAAAAATGAGTTCAAAAGGAGCTGAACTTGGAGATGGGAGCTGTAATCAAAGTCAAGCGAAAAGAATCCATCTTGACTACACGATGGGTGGCCATACAGCAGCTGTGTCTTGTGTGTAAGTCCCTTCATTTTGTCAATGTATCAGTTAAATATCTCATTATATGCAGCTCTCTTGTGTATTGAGGCGAATCTTGTTTTCTTGAACTAATCAACTGCTTAACAGAGCATTTTCAGTATTTGGTGAGAAGGGGAAGTTCCTCGTTTCTGGCGGCAATGATTCATCAGTGAAGCTGTGGGATTGGTCCAAAGGATTTTCCTCTGAAACAAACAGCAAAGTTGAATTGGTTTTGAATATTGATGTAAAGAAAAAGGTCAGGACTGAACCTTCAATTTTTTGCAACTATTGTGATGTTGTCTCTTTTTTGTCTTTGACTATTCATATGTACAGCTGATAACAAAATATAGAAATCTATATAATAAATGGGTTTTTGTATTTTAAAAGATGAAGTTCTTAGGCTCAGTAAAAAAATTCATGATGACCTCTGTTTTGGCAGGTAAATTGGCTGTGTACTGCTCCAACTGATTCAGATAACTTGGTTGTGTGTGACACATCCAAGGTGGTCAAAATATATAATTTCCGATAGATGGATCAAGGTGTAGCCTCAGTTTGTCAGACTGTTATCCGAGGGAGTGAAGATTGTCTGACCGTTGGAACCAATTTGGTCCTGACTCTGGTATCCAGATATTAGAAGCCTGGTGCAGATAGTTCCTGAATTGAGAAGTCATTGGTTAGCAGTTCGCAATATCAGTTATGGCGTGGAACGAATCTGATAAAGTATCGATTATTCTGTTACTGGCGGATCTTATTTTGTTCCGATATATGTGTACAATACAACTTCCACAGGCTGCTAGCTAGACTTATCTTTGTTGTATGGTGAAATGAATTTACGTGTTTGGAGAAAAGAAGGCTTGTTTGTGCTGGAAGACATTATCTTTTTTGTTTCTATATATTGTAGCTGTTATTTCTCGATATGGTGCTGCCTGTGGCAGCACATATAACCAAGAACCAAGGAAGATGCATGACGAATGTTTTTCTGCGCTTTAATGTGTTAATGACGGCCTGTTGAACTATCTCTGAAGGATCTCTCTGTTGCACTCTTGGGCAACTTGTCAGTCTCGGTGGTTGCAAACTCTTGTTGTACCCATGGAAATTGGAAACAGGAGGAAGAAGAGGAGTTCAAAGCTTTCTGTGACATGTCGTGATCTTGGTGTGGCTGTGCTGGACTGGATAGCTTTCTGGATTAGGTTGCCCATTTGCCTTTTGCCCCTCACATTTTATACAAACTTAAACAAAGGAGCACATGAATTGATAACACATTTTTGCAGTCTTTCCCAACAATTGCTCAGAAAGTTCTCTCTTGTGATGAGGAGGGTATTTCTGCAAAACTTCCAGGTCTGTATCATCTTTCATTTGCATGTGGTCAGGAAGTGGATAGAAGCTGGCCTGAAACTGTCTCCATTGGAAGACAGGAACCAGGGGTTGTGCTGCTGTTCTTGGAGGAGAAAGAAGAGAAGAAATGGGAGGCTTGCTCTTGCCGCATCACCAAACCTTTCCAAATTCTTTGCAAGCTGCCATCCCGGGATCTCTCTCTCTTCACAAAGGTGACCGCAAAAACCTTCATTACTTGACAGTTGGTAGGCCTGGTTTCGCAATCTTTGAAGCTTTTATGGTGAAAAAATAGTGTTTGCAGAATCTCTCGTTCTGCTCTTTGGCAAACAAAAAATAACGATGAGAAAAAAAACAGCGTGCATGGATCAACAGTTCAGCACCTGACTGAAGCTGCAGTGAACTGCACGCTATCGCAAAATCGAACTGAGAGTTCAGCAATGTATCTTGACGCAGTCACTGAACTTGCAGGTGTGCACCTCTTCTGTTCTCCGCGGCAAGGCTTTCCACGCTCATTTTGGTCGGCCCTCATCAGATCAGAAGCCAACGGGAACGGCGTGGCGTCGCCAGACATGGTCAGCAAACATAGCAAGGAGGAGCTCATTGCTTTCTTCAGAGACATTCAGACCTCCATTGCCGAGAGCTCGCCTAAAGCTTCCAAGAGGACGAGGAAGCAGCCACCTGATCCGTTAAAAGAGGTCCACAGGAGGGAGCAGTCACACGGTATGTCCAAGCCGAACGATGCTGGAGTTGAATTCTTTTCTGAAATGGGCGTATTACAGCTCATTAGTCCTCCTGCAAGCACATGCTGTTTGTTTTCTAACTCTAGATCATACATGCTTTTTATCATGTTGTGATGTGAATTGATCATCACAAAGCATAGGTAGAGGAGACGGCGGCGCCGGCGATGTTTCAGAGGAACGACAGAGGAAAGTGATGAATCTGGAGGACATGAACGTGGCCGACTTGAGAGAATTGGCGAGGGCGAGAAGGATGAGGGGTTACTCCAAGATAAAGAAGGGCGAGCTCATTGATCGGTTGAAAGGGGTTATGCAATAAACCTCACCATCCTAGTGGGAATCACAATAGAAATACTCGTAATTGTGTGGTGAAGACTAAGAGCAGTTTCGCAGTTAACATGTTCTTGTTGCCAACTTTTCGAACGTATGATGAGATTACCAACAGAAAAATGTATGATATGGTATGTCCTTCATGCCAAGTGTACTGTACTACTGTTTCTATAGAGTAAATTCACATTGGTAAGAAGAAGAACGACGTTGATGTGAACAGCGATAGTAGTTGAACTGTTGTGCTATGCCAAAACTTTTGGTTTCAATTTTTTTGGAGAAATGGTGTGAATTAATCCTAACTTGACCAGAAGCTAGGCATGTCAGTTGTGAGTTGCAACAAGGATCACACATACAGCCATACATACTCCTTCCCTTCCAAAACGTAGGTCGCTTTGTTATGTCCGAAATTTTGTTTCTTTATTTAAATCAACCATGAAATATGTCTTTATACTATGTTTGTTTGGAATTTGATATAGGGTTATTTTATAAACTCAATCAAAACAAAAGAAGCCTGACTTATAAAAAAATTAAAATGGCCTGTGTTTTTTTGGGATGAAGGGGTTGGAAACAAAGAAATCAATACAGGAAAGGATCTCCCGACACTGTTTTGTAACCAAAACCTTGATTGTTTTGACGCACATGACCATTTTTGCAGTGTGAATTAGTCATTAGAAGCTAGGATAACATGAGAAACAAACTAAAACCTCCAGATTAAATACTTTCTTTATCACGAAACTTCAACGTGGCCAGCTGATTTACTGAATGAATTGGTAAATACACATTTATAGTATATAAACCTTTACATGTTTTTGCATTTCACATATCCGTTGTAGTCTACTCTCTCCGTCCGAGAATACAGAGCATTCAAATGATGTCTCAAAATATTTGACGTTATAGCTCTGCTCATAGGCCACACAGCCTACTCCATCAGTCATCTGTCAAATCGTTGTCCTCTGAGGTGCATCGCGAAATGTGAAAAGTTGGGCCACGTTTAGGCTGCGTTTAGATCCAAAAATTTTTGGGTTTTGGGTACCGTAGCATTTTCATTTGTATTTGGCAATTAATGACCTCGTTCGCTTGTCTTAAATTTGGCTTGTTCGGCTTGTGTTTTTCAGCCGGTGTTTTTCTCTCACAACAATTCAGCTGGAACAATGTTTTTCAGCCAGTTTCAGCCAAAGTTCAGACCAGCGAACGGAGCCAATGTCTAATTATGGACTAATTAGGTTCGAAAGTTTTGTCTCGCGATTTCTCACCCAACTGTGCAATTAGTTTTTTTTTCGTCTACATTTAGTACTCCATGCATATGCCGCAAGATTCGATGTGATGGGTACTGCGCAAAATTTTTTGAAATCTAAACAGGCCCTTAGTTTCAAAACCAAATTCCCAAAAAATGCTACAGTAGCCATCATATTGAATCTTGTGATACGTATATGGAGCATTAAATGTAGACGAAAAAAAACTAATTACACAGTTTGGTTGGAAATCGCGAGACGAACGTTTTGAGCCTAATTAGTCCATGATTGAACATTAATTGTCAAATAAAAACGAAAGTTCTACGGTAGCCAAATTTTCAAAATTCACCCAGGCCTTGTTTAGATTGCAATTTTTTGCAACCCGGACACTGTAGCACGTTTCGTTTGTATTTGACAAACTTTGTCCGATCATAAACTAACTAGGCTCAAAAGATTCGTGATTTACAACCAAACTGTGTAATTAATTATTTTTTTACCTATATTTAATACTTCATGCATGTGTCAAAAATTGATGTGATGAAAAGAGGGTGAAAAAAATTGGAATTTTGATAGGATCTAAACAAGGCCCCACTAAACACAGCCGTGATTTGCTGTTTGTGTGTGTGGCGTGAGAGCAAGCACCCCATTAAATGAGCATGTCAACTCAAATACACAGTAGCGTAATGATAAGCAGCCTGTTACTATCTTCGCGATCTCTGTGACAGTAAACGATCGGGTATTATAAATTAGAATAATATTTTTTTTCTAACACCAAATCAACTAACGGTAATAATTTACGAACCAGTAGCTCCAGCCGAACAGGCTGAAGTTTATAGGGTAGCTAGGTATTTTATCTGTAACCTTATAGAATGCAACATTTGCTATAATGTCTCTGTTCGTTTATCTTATAATCCGTATTTTGTAGCTTACTCCTTCCGTCCCACAATACTGGTCGTTCTAGGAAACGGTGTGACTACCAGTGATTATGGCAAAAGACCTGCATACCCCTACTCTGTCCAGTCCTCCCTCCATCCCCACACGTTATTTCCTCTCCTGCGTTCCGCTTTGCTCAGATCCGGATTTCTCTGGCTCTGGTGCTCCTGGCCACGCGCACTAGAGGGAGGCGTCGGTGGAGAAGAGGGAGAGCGCCGGTGTTGGTGGCGACCGGCGGGGGAGGCGTTGGCGGCGGAGGCGACGGCCGGTAGATGGGCGGTTGGCGGTGGCGAGCGGTACCAGCGGAGGAAGACCTGCGGCTGCGCCTCCTCCTTGCCCGGCGGCTGCGCCTGCCTGAGGTTGCGGCACCCTGGATCTCGAGCTGGGCGTCGACCTCGGCTGCGCCTGGATCTGGGCGGTGCAGTGGATGGGGAAGAAGGAAGGCGGCGGCGCTCGCTCAGAATGCGCCGCTCGACGTCGGCTGCTCCACCTCCGTTCCAAATCGGCCGCTCGGAGGCGACCACTCCGCCTCGACCGCTGCTCCGTGTGGGAAGAGGACGGGTGCGGCGATGGTGGTGGGATGGAATCGTGAGCACCACGCCAGGGACGGGATAGAAAGGATAAAGCCTCCTCCCAACCGTCTGTTTTTTTTTTCATTTTTTTATTCATAACAGTGGACAGTGGAGGATATAGAGATGATGGATGGGGTCGGTACATAGAGTGGGACCCACCCTATACAAGATAAAACGTCTTTCTTTGTGGTACTTTTTTGAATGCTAGAACGTCCTCTATAAAGGGATGGAGGGAGTATTTTTTTAGCTAGAATAGTATCTTTTTCTTGCAATAAATTAGTCGGAACAGTATTTAACTTATTTTTAGCGATGTCTTTTATTACGGGACGGAGTGAGTAACCCGACAGACCCGAGTTCTAGTTCCGGCGATGGAATCTTTTTTTTTCCCTAGTAGAGGCCCGAGACTCCCTGAATCCTTGGTACTTTTTTTTAAATTTATACACTGAGTACTCCCTTCGTACTTAAAAAAAAATGAAGCATCCACCGCCGGCCCCGAGACTCCCTGAATTTATATACTGAGTACTCTCTCCATACCAAAACCACTTTATTTTTTTTAAGTACGGAGGGAGTACCTTGCATGCGCTCCTGGGCCTGAGCCCTGCCCATCCACCACCGGCCTTTTGAATTGGGCAGAGCTCGTCGGTACGTGCTACCTCCGGGGCGCTGCCGCGCGAGGGCGAGGCGATCGAACTAGCAGTGGTTCTAGCTGCATCCCCCGATCAACCCCGCCCCCGGCGCCCAAGCACGTAAGCGATCCCTTCCCCCTGCTTCTCGCCTCGGTCTGGACGCGATGGGTGCTGGTTGACCCCCGTTTTGGTGGGGTTTAAGGCGGGTTTTGTGGTTGTGGTTGGGAGGATGCGGGCACGGGTTGGCGCTCGCTTGCCTGTTGGAGCGCAGCGGGCGATGCGGCGCCGTTTTGAGCGGTTTCGGGGCTAGGGTTTGGGGGAGATGGGGGCTGAATGCGCCAGCCTGGGTTGGGTTGCAACGGGTTGAGGTGGTTCTGAACTTTGGGCAGTTGGGGTTGGGATTTGCGGGCTTTGTAAGAGCGGAGCTGCGATTGGACGTCTTCCTGCGAGGCGTTTGTTGGTTTTCGCGTGTATTTTTCCTGGTCTGCTTTTAATGTAGTTCGTTAGGGGGACATTGCCGGAATTTTGTGTATTATTTTTTCCTTTTTTTTCAGACCTGCATTTGTTGTAACAGTTAATCGCTTATGATTCTGGTGCAGCTTGGCTACTCCGAAATTGCTGGAGTTTTGGTATTTAGGGGAGCTGGGGATTTGGGAGGCCAGAACTGTTGTATTATTTATTTTGTTTTTAATTGTTTGCGTATCACAAAGCATGTGTGCGTGGTTCACTGAAACTGGGGAATGATTCCACTTTTCTGTGTGGTTGGCGAATGCTGTGGAGTACTTGAGTAGCCTTTTGACTTCTGTTCTGCCCAGGTGCAGAATTTAACATGGTGGCTTGCTAGATGGCTCACCTGATGATGAGATGTGTATCAGCAGTGATTTTCATGACCAGCATGACAGAAAGCTGGGTTGTTATTTTTGTGCTATGAATTATTATTATTTTTGTTATTCCAGGTGGTGATCCAATTGCATATTATATGGAGTCTTTGAATTCCTTTGGTTACTTATTTTGTTTCATTATGGATTATTGAATTTGGTATTCCTAGTTTACCTGCATCAGCATGTATAATGTCCATACTTGTTCAACTTTCAAGTTTTATCAAAGAATGGACGTTTTATGAACATTTGAGATGAGGAACAACTCTTACGAAGCAAACATACCTATGAACTAGTAACTGGGAGTCCATGATTCTTTAGATTTTCTTTTCCACTTTCCTGTTAGTAGATGTTCTGTACATTACTTCCCTTTTTATCTGCCCTTTGCTTCTCCTTGGTGGCTTCGTGGTCCTAGTGTGTTACTGGTTCCAAATATATTTTTAGACATTTATTACTCCATATTACTCTGTGTTGCTACCTATGGTGAATTATCTCAGTAACGATTTTGTTTGTCCAACTTGCCCCTGCATGTATGCTGTATGCATATTAATGTTGCCATTTTGCACGTTTTTTCATGATTTCCAAAGAATGGGTGCTGGAAGGAAGACTGAAACTTTCTATGCTGCAACACCAAGTGCACAGACACAAAATCGAAGCAATGAATGGTATGGAGCCTTTTCTGTTGCTGCCCGTAATCTTCGGGAAGATGAGCTAGGAGGAGTGATTTTTGGCTGCAAACACAACACCATGAATGAATGCCTCTCAAAACAGCTGTTTGGTTAGTAAATTCCTTTCCACCTTTTTCTTAACTAGCAATTCCTTTTCCACCTTATAATGCAACGCCGCTACTGCAATTAAATCATCACCCCCATAAAACTATAAACTGTCATCCTGACATCAGTTCTTAGCTTTTTGGAACATTGAAATCTCGTCAGTATTTTGTTCAATAGGTTTGCCTTCAAGCCATTTCTCATATGTGAAGAATGTTAAACCTGGCATGCCCCTATTTCTGTTCAATTATAGTGACCGAAAAATGCATGGAATTTATGAGGCTGCATGTGCTGGCAAGCTTAACATTGATCAATTTGCTTGGAGTGATGGTGGTAGAATAATGACACAATTTCCTGCACAGGTATCATCAAATAAGAATCCTTCCATTTATGCAGCACCATACCCATGTATGTATGGTTAATCTGGTCATAGGTTCATAAGCTTACTGACTCGTGAGTGACTTGTGTATTTTGAAGGTCCTCATCTCCATGAAAACTCACTGCTTTCCAGTTCCAGAGTCTCAATTCCAAAGTGTGATCCGTGGCAATTATTACAGACCTCGTCACTTCTTCTTTGAGCTAGACCATGAACAAACAAGAGCTTTGATATCTTTGTTTAAGCCTGCCCCTGTTCATGATGTTCCAAACAAATGGGATCCTTCCAGATCTATGCAATCCCCAACAGTCGAAGCGTATGTTAATCCTGGTCATGTGAAGCCTGAGTCCTATATAAAGGATCTCAATCCATTTGATGTTTCTTCTGAATCTCATTGTATTGACCCTTACAAGTTGGTTGATCCAGATGGTGAATATGCTAGTGCGAGTAGAACATCAACAAGCCACCTTGACGATGAGTCTTCTAACTGGGATGATTTAGATGATGTTGCGACCAAGGAAGGAACTGAATTTGTCAATGATGACCATCCACATATTAATCCACAACATAATGAACAGTATGTCACAGTGGCTGTTAGGCAGAAACTACAAGAGATGTCTGTTTTACGACAGCAGGAGGCTCAATCCTCCAAGGACACTGTTGATTCTGCTTCAAATAAACCAATGCCTCAAGAACCACAGTTTGATGCCACACTCCCCACAGACCCATCTGATTCCACCTCAAAGGGTGATGTACGTATTGAAGACCTGAAATCATTAGGGCAATCTCGTGGAAATGCTGAGGTGCTTTAAGCTATTCCATTCTATTGCTTTCTCTTTCACAGAAATTACTTTCAGATTACGCTCCATATTTTCAACTGTATTATTTGTAATGTTTGCTATGGCAGTCCTATCTGATATGTCTTGTTGTCTGTAGCTGCTTCACATCGTCAAAGAGCTATCCAAGAGGAACCAAGCAATGGAGAAAAAACTGGTACTGCTCTTCTTGACCGTTTAGGTGGAAAAATGAATGCCCTGTTCGCTTGGCTTATAAGCCGTACTTTTTCAGCCAACGAATATTATTTTTCTCTCACAACAAATCAGCCAACAGTACTTTCGGCCATGGCTTATCAGCCAAGCGAACAGGGCAGAAAGCATTATTATCCATTAGAGTATAAATAGATAGATTATTTTACTTTCCTCATTGGCTCCGGATCTACATTAGCATATCTGTGGTTATTTGGATTTTGAAGTTAGCTCAAATGTTCAATAGAATTATGGAATTACATATGATATGTGTACCCTGTAGATGTGGTCGATGCCGAGTTATGTGGTATTGATGCATGGTATATGTGTAATCTCCCTCCTAATTGTGGTTCTTCTATCTACCAGTTTGAGTCAGATAAAGAAATACTGTTTCTGAGGGAATCGATGAAGGACACAGGAAGGAGAATTCAGGAACTGGAATACCAGTATGAGAAACTACAATCAAACTATAACTCTTTGGTCCCACTCCTTGGTAGTCCACATGATAATATGGAAGGACCATCAATATTCCTAATAGGTGGCTACAGGGGCAGTACTTGCCTGTCATCGCTAGATTCCTTTTGCCCTAAGACAGACAGAGTAGTGCCTCTGTGTTCAATGAGGTCAGCCCGTGCATATGCAGCAGTAGCTGCATTGAAGGATCATCTCTATATTTTTGGTGGTGGGGATGGCAGTTCATGGTATCACACAGGTAAATGTTCAAACATGATCAAGTGTTTTATATAAGTTCCAAGCTGTTGACTATCTGCATTCCTTTTATTGAAGTGGAATGCTACAGTATGGGCAGTAATAAATGGATAACATGCCCCCGCTTGAAACATGCAAAAGGAAGCCTTGCTGGAACTACATTGAATGATAAAATATTTGCTATTGGTGGTGGAGATGGGTCTGCAGTTTTCTCAGAAGTTGAGATGTTTGATCCAGCACTTGGGAGGTGGATAGACAGTGTGTCAATGCGGCAAAAGGTATGGTCTCACAGTCTCACACTTCCTATCACATTTAGTTTGTTGGATATAGAGTAGAATGTTCTAAACTACTCACTCTGTTCCAAATTGTAAGTCATTCTAGCTTTGTCCCAAGTCAAACTTGTCTAACTTTGACCAAGTTTATAGAAAAATATACTAATATCTACAATATCATACAAATACACTATCAAAATATATGTTATGATGTACCTTATGAATCTAGTTTGGTGTTGTTGCTTGTGCATTTTTCTACAAACTTGGTCAAACTACAGAAGCTTGACTCAGGACAAAGCTAGAATGACTTATTGTTGGCTTCCCTACTAGTCCATTCTTTATTCTCGTGTTATGGTTAACAAGGTTCAGGATCCATATAATGGAGCAAAATTTAAAAAGGAAATGTTATAGGGAGAAATTGTTTAAACTCTATAGCTAAAAGTTCCAGATCACAAGAAGAAGCAAGCTTTTGCAATAGGTAGTCATATTATTTTATTATTGTTTGCTTGTCATAAATTGGCAAAGCAGTGTTCATTCTTATAGTAAGATCAGTAATTATCAACTGCATTAGAATATGGATAGCTATTTAATCATTGGGATGGTGAGTGTGTATATTATATGGAAGTAGTTCTGCATATCTCTAATTTAATGTAGTTTCTTTTGGAACTAATAACATATATCGTACATATTTTTCACAAATATTTTTCCAGTCTCTATCAAACTACTCCATCCAGTCACAAATAAGTGATGATTTGGGCATTGACATGGTCTGCAAAACACAACTTTGACTAGTACTTCTTATTATGAAGTATTTGTAAAATATAGAAGAGGTTCATTTTTATGAAACTACATTTTGAGATAAATCTACTGTTAGCATTCTCAAATATCCAAACTCAACATTTAAAAAGTAACATGCGACAAAAGCTTGAAACGGTTGACTTAAGACAACCCCAAAACATTTACTAATTTGTGAGTGGAAGGGAGTATGCATCAAATTGCAATGCGTGAGCGTATTTGCTGGAGAGAATTGGGCGCTATTTCATGTGATTTTGTGTCTGTAGGATAAGGATCATCTGCATGTGTCCATGACTTAATTGTTTTGTGTTTGTGAGATAATCTGCTGCTCTCCCTCTCCAGCTTTTTGCTGCAGCAGAGTTTGAACCATTTCGGTCAGCTCTTGCTAGCATCTGTAGAGGTATGGCAATAGGCCATCGCCTCCTTGTACTAGTCTGTACACTTAGAAGTGGCAATAGGCCACTAGTAGTAGTGGCTTACCTCAGCCATACATAGTTGGTAAGGCTGATCTCAGCCATGTCCTAGAGGACATTGTAGTTGGTGTACTCACCTCTACACTTGTGCATATATTCACTAGGCAATACAAGGAGAAAACCAGTTCAATTGAACACACATTCAGAGTTTCAGTGTTGTGCTCGTGGTGTGTGTGTGCTCTGTTGTCACCCCCTTCTTCTACCTCTAGCTGTGGGTGTGTGTGTGTGAGGGTGTTGGTGAGCTAGCTGCTCACCTGTGCAAGGAGATCCAGGGCCAACAGTGTTATCTAGTTTACCCACGATGGTTTGATTTAGAACTCAATTCTTGCTTTTGTTTGTTATATATATATATGTTGTTCCAGAGATTTGCTCCTGCTGCAGCCGTATTAAGTGGTACACTCTATGTAACTGGTGGTTATGATGGCAACACGTACTTACAGTATGATCCTTGACCATTCTTTCAGTATTATGATTATGATTTTGATGTCTTTTGACTTTGCTATTGACAAAATGATGGTAATACACAGATCAGCAGAAAGATATGACCCAAGGGAAGGTTTCTGGGCTCTGCTTCCAAGTATGAGTGCAAGAAGAGGATCCCACTCCGTAGCTGTCATGAGGGAATCCTTGTGAGTTCTGAGACTCTTTCTCTCCATCTCCATCCTATGACCTCCTTGCAACCCAAGACTTGCATAATCTGCCTCATTGTTGTGTACACTGAAACAGGATAGCTTATGTTTCAGATTCGCTGTGGGAGGGTATGATGGAAACAGCAAGATTTCCACTGTAGAAATCTTTGATCCGCGTGCCAATTCATGGAGGATAGACAGTTCATCCAGCATCGCAAGAGGATACGGATGTGCGGTGACAAAGGATGATAATCTGTACCTCATTGGTGGGGTCAATGATGCTGGAGAAACTATCGAGACTGTAAGTCTGTTGGTTGTTATTCTCCCATGATTTGTTTTCCCTGGACTTGTTGGATTCTTGAATTTCTTCTGGTGCTGTTTCGCAGGTTGAAGTTTACAATGAGAGGCAAGGCTGGTCGATCTCTGGCTGCAGATCCATAGGGAGGAGGGCCTTTGCCTGCGCTATCACCGTTTGACAGGACCACGGATCTCATAGCCTACCAATTTTTTGGAACAGAGTTATGGTTTTGCAGCCTTTGCCCTCTTGCTGGTTCTACACATTGGTCAGAGTATACCTTCTTCCCAAAACAGTCACTGGGTTGAGAAAATTTTTGCTCCCTCCTTCCGCCCCTACTTATACTACTTCCGTCCGTGGATAAATCAACTTTTAGAGTTGTCTTGAGTCAAACTTTTGCAAGTTTGATTGAATTTATAGACCAGTATTTTTGACACAAAATTATTGGATACACCATGAAATATATTTTTCGTAGTGTACTCATTTAGTGTCATAGATGTTAATATTCTTTCCTATAAAATTGGTCAACCTTGCAAAAGTTTGATTTAGGACAACTCTAAAAGTTGATTTGTTTGGGGACGGAAGGAGTATAAGACAAAGTCACCTATTTTTTCTGGTAGTGCATTTCTGAATTGACAATCACAGAATGCCACCAAATGGTTAAGGTCACAGTAGCATGTTCTGTTGTGTAACGTTCAGGCAGTCTACTGCTGCTTGCACTTTTGAGAAACTACATATGGTATAGGTGATGAGGCGGTCTACTGAATTGTTGAGGGTTCATGAGTATTTTGGGGAGTTCAAATGTACATGCCGAGCTCCTTACAGCATTCGAGACACGCTCCTTGGAGCATTATTTCTTGCTCCGTAATTGCTGAATGCTGATGGTAGCAATCTAGCTAGCTCTGGCAGCTCTAATTGGCAGCCAGTGGATATGATTGTTGCAAGGGAATCGCTCTTGTCCGGTGAACTGGTAGCATCTGTATTCTTCTCATATATAGTGCGATCGGTTGGTGGAATCGGACTCTGCGGCAATGCATTGAGTTGGTGAACGGAGTGCAACGCTGCTAAGCAAGGAATATGGTCCTAACTCTAGGGATTTGGCTCGCCAAACTGCCTATCGTAGGAGCAAAGTGCGGTTTGACTGCGGACCTGTTGCTTGTGCGAGATTTCACAGGGCTAGTTAGGCCCTGATCAGTTCAGCCATTCTTTCCAAAGATGCCCGATCGCGTTGCGTGTTTCTGAGTAAGTTTTTCCGATCGCGTTGCGTGTTTCTGAGTAAGTTTTTCGTTAGCCTGATGAGGGCTGGTTATCTTAGCACAAAAGGGATTTCTCTCATTCCCAAATGTTAGTTGTGAGCAACTCCAATAGCTTAAGCTAAAATTAGTAGCTAAATTCTATAGTTTAGTCATTTTGTCGGTCTTACTATTTTTCATTTTTAGATAGATAGCGCCTATAGTTGGCTTTATATGGCCACAGAAAATTAAAAGATAGCTAGCTTTCTATTTTACAAAGTCAAATAACACATTTGTTTTAGAATACTTTAATAGCCGAGCTATTGGAGTTGCTCTTACGTATGGATGAAAATGGAACTTGAGGACTAATTGGGTGGTTAGACAACCGATAAGCGATTGGTGTTTAAATTCTGAAACCTCACGAAAGCAAAGAAAAAAAAAGATTCTTCCGATTACCAATCGACAGCGCAAGGTTCCCGTACAAGGCTAGCACATCAATTCATCGTCCAGAACGACAGAATCCAAATAAATCAACAGTGGACTCCTTCAGACGTACACACCAAATAAACCAACACCTTTGGCTCAGCACGGAAGTATAAGGCACCAACTTGAGCAGAAATACGTTGCACCGATTTACCTTTGGCTCAGCACGGAAGTATAAAAGGGAGATTCCTCAAGGCCCAATTGACAACAGAAATTCTTCAACTCAGACACCCATCTTCAAACCGAGAATCTGCTTTACCCGAAACTTTGCCGGGCCTTACTGGACTCAATCATCGTCGACCAGAATTCTATCCCAAAAACATTGCCTTCTTCCTCTATAAAATCTACCTATTCCCCTCATCGATCATCAAACCACCAGCTTAAGTTTCCAGCACCAGAGCAATGGCCTCCAACTTTGTGCCTGATGCCTGGGCTTGGATCACCAGCCTGCCCCCATTCACCCATTGGCGCACCAGCGCCATGTCCCTTTGCATTTGCACCACAACATCATCATCAGTGTCATCACAGCCATCAATGAACCTCTCGATTGTGAAAAACCCTTCCATCCCCCAGCCTTCTTATGTTACCTTCTCCATCTATGCAAACTACAGTGTGCCAGTTTCCCTGTGGACGTCAAAACCAGTCCATCTGAAAACAAAGACACAGCAAACTCTAGATGAACAAGATATGATACAGGTCTTCGTTGACATTGTCAACTCAGTGATGAGGTATTGTCCAGACAAAAAATTGTCATTTCGGTTCCCTGGGGCACAGCCTCATGCCAACTTCAAGGACGTGTTCAACATAGTTTTCTTGTCCCTGGCCTTCCTGGTGTGCATCTACGAGTCTCCTCGTGATCTCCGTCCTGGATGCTTGGATTCACTGAGAACCCAGCTTACTGGTTCAAAGTGCAGAGATGCCGCAAAGAACCTTGTAAAGATGCTTGGGGCAAACCTTGAGGACCAGTGGATGCAGACAATGAATCTTGCAGTAACTAACTGGATCGTTGAGCTGAGATCCGCAAACCAGTCATCTGGGGTATCATCGCCGCTGTTCTCATATGCCCTCTCAGCAAGCGGGCTCTGGAAGGTGCAGCTATACTGCCCAGTCATAACCATGGGCATGGAGGAACCTGCAGAAGCAACACAGGATGAGCGCCTTCTCTTCTCACTCATTTATCAGCAGGTTGAATGTGTCATTCAGCTAGCTTATAGAACAGCAAGAAGGGATAACTGGATTGATGTCGAGGTGAAGGTAGACAACATAAGGTCAGTTATTTTAACATATAAGAACCAGTTCTTTCTATTACATGAACTCACAATCAAGTTTCCGTTCTTTTTCCTGAGGTAGCAATAACAACTTGATTTTTTTTTAGTACAAAGGCCAAAGAATAGTTCAATTTTAGTGTACCCTGTAAAAGTGTATCTGCATAAGTTGGCATCAAAGCTAGATCATTAGATAACAAATAAAACCTAAACATGTCAAAATATAGTCACTTTCTACACTAAAGTAAATTGACATGGAGTAAGGAATCATGTATATTTTTGTAAAATGTTGTTAACTAGGAACAATATAGATCTTAGAGTAAAACTCCCATTTGAGTAGTCTACACCAGAACTGTCTAGAAATTCATTAGCATATGTAATCTATAAGCCAACACTATTTAAAAATCATTAGAAATTCATGGTGGTTCATTGTTTCACAGACTATGATTAGCTGTAGAAAGCAACTTCATTAAAAAAAAACATTTGTCCACATACATGGACTATCTAATAAAACAAAATAAAAGGGAACAGACAGCACTCACTTTTGGCATCTATCACAGGTGTGATGTGGACTCTTTGGTCTCTGAGACCCTCATGGCAGAACGTGGATATGGCTCTGAAGAGAAGCACTTCCCATCTCGTGTCATGCTGCAAATCACACCTATGCAACAATCTGACGTGCTGTCTGTTTCTGTCGGCAAGTCCACAGACAACCCCACACATGAATTTGGTATTGAGAAGGGCTTTGAGGGTTCCTTTGATCCCCCAAACTCATTTGGTCTGAAGGCATCAGTCACTGAAAGCCTTACACTGGCCATGAAGCCCTGGAAATTTGAGCAGTCTGTGCATGGCAACACTGCAACCTTGAACTGGTTTCTTCATGATGGTGTCAATGGAAGGGAGGTTTATTCCTCAAAACCTTCAAAGCTTTCTCTGCTTCAACCAAGGGCCTGGTTCCGTGACAGGTACTCAAATGCATACCGCCCGTTCACAAAGCAGGGGGGTGTCATTTTTGCGCGTGATGAGTATGGAGATAGTGTCTGGTGGAAGATCTGTGGTGCAACACTAGGAAAGACTATGAACTGGGAAATCCGAGGCTGGATTTGGCTAACATACTGGCCTAACAAACAAAGGACCTTCCATAGCGAAACAAGGTGGCTTGAATTTAGAGAATGCCTGCAGCTTCCCCTTACAAAGTTTCCATAAATCACTTTACTCTGAATGATTGTATAGCAGTATGAGATATAACCATTGAAAAATCCATGCATGTATGAGGCACAAAAAGTATGATTACTCTATTGTAACTGAATGTACCGTTACAACGAAATAACTTGCTCATATGCCTGCTTTGCAATTTAATGCAATCCTAAAGATTTATTTGGTGTACTTACCATTCCTTTTCTTGACCTAACTTGAGTTCAGCTGAGCAAATGTGCAATATTAACAACCAAGAGAGCTCATTAAACACGGACTCATTTCCTACTATAGTACAGGAACTCAACACACAGGACAACTTCTTGTACCGGTTGGTTCATAGTATAAAGCTATGTCTCAGTAAGATGAAAACCACGAATGACTACAACGCTTCAGGTTGAAGCATTTTCCTAACATCTAGAATGAAGTTATTCCTACTTCTCCCCATAACCATGCTTCTAATATGCAAAAAGGCTAAACCCATCATCTCTATCATGGTATTCTTCATGTGCTTCAATTTTTTTATCAGCATTCAATTCTATAATTATCATCTCAACCACCTCTTCAACGTTGAAGTAATCATAACTTACTTCCCCTTCTTTGTGTAACACACTCTTCTCAGATTGAATGACGTCCACGGTCTTGCAGGCAACGTGGACACTTCCCAAGTCATCATTCCTTCTGTTTTCACCTCATGGACCTCAGTCTCCACAGATTCCACCTCAGTCTCCACTTTCTCATCAGACCGTTGCAACGTGGCAGCGGTACACTAGATGCCAGCAACGAAAGCGCCCGACGATGCAGCCAGAGTTGGCGTCAGCAGAGTTCTCCGAGAAGTTGACACGCGCCTTGGGGCCATACATGGCCTTTGCCGCCTCATCGTATGCATGGGCAGCCTCCACAGCGGTAGGGAAGGAGCCCAGCCATAGCCGCCGGCCACGGTTGGGCTCGCGGATCTCCGCCACCCACTTGCCCCACGTCCGCTGCCTCACGCCGCGATACACGCAGTTGACGTTCTCAGGCCCTCCTTTGCCCGCCATGCACCCTTTCTTGGAACCCTTGGCCGGCGCCTTCCTGGAGCCGCTCTCGTCCTGCAGCTTCTGGTTCTGCTCCTTCCACCACTTGATCGTCTCGGCAATGGAGTCAGGGCCAGTGCTCTTCCTCCTCATCCTCTTCTTCCTGACCCAACAAGGCAATTCATTCATCATTTCATAAGGCCCGGAGCGGAAACATTCAAATGAAAATCACAAGATATAGAAGGTCATCTATCTAATCCGCTTCAAGGAAAGAAGTAAACGAGCCCTGTTGATTCCTCCAAGGGCCAGCAGTAATCTAACCAAGCTGAAAAGAAAGAGAGAGTCGTTTTAGATGCTGTGCACACAAGGCAGTTCTTCTGCTGCCATGGCACTCCAGGAAGAAAGGCATGGACCTGCACCACCATGAACACAGGAGACTTCCACATCCACTACCCAGGGGCAACATCACCTGTCTGTCTCGCCCAATTCAGCACTGAGACACCGCCCCGAATAATTTTGAACTGTAATTCTCCCCCCGAGATGTCTATCTTACAAAATTCTCCACCGAGAAAGCTTGAAGTTAACCCAAAAACAAAACTATATTTGGAAACGAAGATCGGATGAAATAGTGTCGGGAACTACTCCTAGCCGTGGAAGATTTGGTCTACCCAATCCGCCGCCAAACGAGCACAGCAGCGAGATGGATGGACAAGCTCCAGGTCAGCAGCAGGAGACTCGTCAACACTACCCAAACCCAGACCACCAGACAGAAGCACATCGGCAGGCAGGCACGCACCGATTCCGCGGCCGGCTAGGCGCACGCACAGCGCCGGCGCAGCAATGCTCGACGAGCACCACGCACGAGCAAGGAAGACCGGCGCGCGAGAAGAAGGAGAACCGGAGGACAGGACAGCTCACCTGACAAGGGCCCCGGAGGCGGCGTCCCCTTGCGCTCCCTGGCCGGCGGCGGCGTCTCCCAGCTCCATGGACGGAAGAGCGAGAAGAGAGCGAGAGATCTCCCCGCTCCTCCGCTGCCCTGCCTAGATTTCGTCCCTCCCTTCCGCCCGCCTGGGCCTGGCCGGCCGCCTCTCTGTGGCGGTGGTATCCTCGTTGTTTCTCGTCTGGGCAGCAGCCAGATCTTCTACGGCCGGCGCCCCCCCCTGGATCTCTCCCCGTCCCCCTTCCCTCTCCCACCTCACACCTCGTAACGCGGCAGGTGTCGGTGTCCCACCAGGCCACCACCCCCCAGGCTTCCCACCTCTGACGCTGCCGCCGCTTCGCTGCCTGGCCTGCCTGCGTGCGTGACTGCGTCCGCTTCGGTTTTGACGTGGACGCCACCGCGGTGCGGCTAATCTGGCAGGCTGCAGGCGGGCGCCGGGGCGCCGGGGCGGGTCAAACGAGAAACAACACCCCGCGCCAGCAAGCGTTTACACGCCAGCCAGCCCCAAATACGGCGCCCGCCCGCCGCCCTGTCAACACCAACACGCGCGCGCGCTTCTTTCTCGCCCCGGGTCCGAGTAGTGTACAGTACCATCTCTTTCTAACAGAAACAACACCGTGTCCGTGCAGGGCCCGGTTTACATGCCAAAAATTTTGGCAAAATGATACTGTAACAGTTTTCGTTGTTATTTAGCAATTAGTGTCTAATCATAGTCTAATTAGGCTTAAAAGATTCGTCTCGTGGATTTCGTCTAAACTGTGTAATTAGTTTTATTTTTTATTTATATTTAATGCTTACGACATGCGTCCAAAGATTCGATGTGACGGAGAATCTTGAAAAATTTTGCAAATTTTTTGCAACTAAACTGGACCCAACTCCGGATGCCTTTTTTGGCATCACCATTAGACTGTCTCCAACCGTGGGACCTAAAACGAAAGGCATTTCATCATCCTGCACAAGCCTGACCAATGAGTTAGGACCCAAAACATCACCCTTTCCAACAGACAACATAAAAGATCCGTGGTGGTCGCGTCCTCCTCCATGAGCTGCCTGCCTTGGCCCGGCCGCATCCTCCTCCGTCTTGCGGCGTCTGCCTTGCCTTGACCTCCCCTCTCTTCTCCCTCTCCTCTCCTCTATCTCCTCCCCTCCGTGGTGCGGGACCCCTCCTAGGCAAGGCGAGCGAGGTGCGCAGCCAGACGGTGGGGGCGAATCCGTCTCGCCACGCCAAGACCGTGGCCAAGGCCTCCGCCTTGCTTGCCGCCGTGGGGAGGCCCCATGACCGCCGGGCTCGAAGGAGTCGCCGTCGCCGTGGGGGAGAAGCAACCATGGCGACCTTGCCGAGGCCGTCGGGCGAGAGGCGAGGTGACGGCGTCGAGCCCCGTCGCCCTCGAGAAGGTCAGCGTGACCTCGACCAGCTCCTCCCCGTCGTCGGAGCTCGGTCGAGCCGACGGGGAGGAGCCCGTGCTCCCCAGCTGCAAGGCCGACGCCTTGGGTCCTGAGTTTTGGTCGCGCGTCTAGGAGAAGGCAAATTTGCCTCCCCTCTCTCCTCCCACCCAAAATGCGTGCCGGCTCTGCGTCGTCCGTTGGAGCCGGTTCGGAGAACGCAAATGCACTGTGGCGGACGCAATTTTGCGGTTGCGTCGCGTCGTTGGAGTCGGTCTTAGAAAAACGAAAACCCTTTGGATAGCTACTACAGCGGCCTTTGGCTGACCATGGATGCTGCGGCCTGCGGTGGCTAACGGCCACCCCATTGTATGCCCATGAGGCCATGAGCATTTGTGTCCACGATTTGAGTTGCTTGACGATGACACAGATGGACAGTATTATGGCACGGTAGATCTTAGGCCTGTGTGGATTCAGGAATCAGGATAGGTTACCGCCATTTCAAATTGCATAAAAAGAGGTATATAGGCTAAATTTGGTTGATATCCAACAAATAGATATACCATACATCAGCCTGTTTGGTTGGCTGGTTCGTGAAGAAGTACTGCTGGCTGGTTTGTGTGAGAGAAAAATACTGTTTCAGCTGTAAATTTACGATCGTTTACGACAAACCACAGCCAAACGAGCATGTTGCATAACATCCCATCTGTTGGGAGGAAGGAACTAACATGTGATCTATCATCCCCCCCCCCCCAATTTGAAACGTCGAAGAATCCAAAAGATGCTCCAGTAGGCTACAAGGCGTCTTCCTTTACGTGGCAAAAAGGTAGCAATGCTCGGACAAATTAAAGAAGAAGAATGTTAAAGTCGAGGTTCGAAACCCTAGACTAGCTTCGTCCAGTTGAGCCTGATCAGCTGACTCTTGTTTACACGTATCCCGACAATTTAAGTGATACGTAGAACTAAGGTGACCATCTTGTCTATTTTTATCGCACCTTCTCACTCCTCTCTCTCTTTTGTGTCCATCAATTTTGGACGTACGTGTCGTATTGTATACTCTTTTACTTTTTACCGGTACTGACGTAGGTGCTCATACATCTCGTGCATACACTTACTTCTATCAATATCTTTCGAATTTGACGTCCATATATCGTACTCCTGCGAGCATCTTTGGAAGATTAAGGCTGAGCTCTTTGATAGGCACAGGCAACACAAACCAATCTATAATCTCAATTTTACAATTTTATAAATCCTATAAGAAAAGCATCTGTTGTATCACCATCGGTTTCCTTCTCGCGCCAATCAAACCAAGGTAGTCTTATATGCCGCATAATTTTTTCCCCCCAAATTCCCTGTCGCTGTATCGGTTCACCTTGTTTTATTCGGCACGCATCGATCGCAAGGCCTCGTCGTCGTCGTTGTTGCGTTGCTCGGCACGGTGAAGCTCGGCCCGGTCGGTTCGGCACGGCCCACCTTAGTTCAAGATCACATATTCAGAAATTTTATTTGTTGCTCAAAAAAAAATTCAGAGATTTTATTTTATACTTGCTCAAAAAAAAGAAAATTTTATTTTACTTCGGTTCGGTGCATCATCGTTGCTGTCTGTCGCAGATTGCTGACTTCACCCAACTTTGATCAAATTCATGCATGTGCGCTGCCGCAGTGCATCAGCTCATTACAACATCAGAATATTACATAAGCGAGGAGGATTCAGTTCATCTATGATCAAGAATTCATTACTGATAATACAATACTAGTCTGAAGAACTGGAGGTCAGAACTAATTGTTCCATCTGTAAGGAGTTTCGGTTTCCTTCCAAAAGACGCCGGAAGGATTTATTTTTGTTTAATGAGGCATTAAATTTTGAAACCCACAGGCATCAAATTTTGAAACTCACCATAGTTAAAACTAACTGGAAGAAACGAAGTAAAGTTGGATTATTAACATGCGATTTGTTGAAGGTTTCAATTCAATGCCCACTAGCAAACGGTCAGATATCATCTCCATAAATACCCGGAGGTTGGGGTGATTAACAAACCAATCTGGAGAGAAAGGAAAGAAGGAGAGAGCATCATATCGTGGGGAAAAGAATGGCAACAATTACTGTTCCTCGAGTTGTCCCTTCTCCTGCCGAAGATGCCGCGGCTCTCTTGAAGGCGTTCCAAGGTTACTGCTGCTCCTGAATCCTGATCTTTCTGACTGTAGCGCGCGTAACATGCTCAAATATTTGTGGTTCATTCAGGATGGGGCACCGACGAGCAGGCGGTGATATCCATCTTAGCTCACCGCGACGCGACCCAGAGGAAGCAGATCGCGCTGGAGTACGAACACAAGTACAGCGAGAGCCTAATCCAGCGCCTGCAGTCAGAGCTCTCCGGCGATTTTGAGGTTCAGATTAGTGTGCATGCATTTGCCCTCCTGCTCCGATGAGCTCTTATTTTTTGTCAGTTCAGTTCGCCTGACCGCTAATGCGTTTGCAGAGAGCAGTGTACCACTGGATGTTTGACCCCGCCGAGAGGCAGGCTGTGATGGCGAACGCCGCAACGGAATGCATCCAGGAGGAGTACCCGGTGATCGTGGAGGTCGCGTGCACCAACTCGTCCGCGGAGCTCGTGGCCGTCAAGAAGGCATACCATGCCCTGTACAGGCGCTCCCTGGAAGAAGACGTCGCCGCTCGTGCCACGGGCAACCTTCGCACTGTACGTGCAGCTAGCTGCAGTTCGCTTACTTGTTCACCATGCATCCAGCATCCTTGACGACGACACTCGGCCGGCTAGCTACCTAACCTGTCCTCGTACGTACGTCACCTTCGTTCAGCTTCTGCTCGCGCTGGTGAGCACGTACAGGTACGACGGCGACGACAACGTGGACATGGAGCTAGCGCGATCAGAGGCGAAGATCGTGCACGAGGCTGTGCGGCGCGCCGCGGCAGCGGGGGGTCACGAGGAGCTCATCAGGGTGGTGGGCACCAGGAGCAAGGCGCAGCTCAGGGCCACGTTCGGCTGCTTCAAGGACGAGCACCGCGGCAGCGTCACCAAGGCGCTGCCGCGTGGGGACGACCCCACGGGGTACCCCCGCGCGCTGCGGACGGCGGTGCGGTGCGTCGCGGATCCCAGCAAGTACTTCGCCAAGGTGAGGCAGTGGTCGTCGACGATGATCGTCATCGTTGTTGAACTGAACGGAACTGATTATTGTTGCCGTTGTATGTGTTGGCTGAAAAGATCGATTCTGAGATGGATTAAGCACGCACGCAGGTGCTGAGGAACGCGACGCGCGAGTCTGCAGGGACCGACGAGGATAGCCTGACGAGGGTGGTGGTGATGCACGCGGAGAAGGACGACATGGGGGCCATCTGCGCCGCGTTCCAGAAGAGGGCGTCGTGCACCTTGGAACAGGCCATCGCCAAGGAAACCTCGGGGGACTACAGGAGCTTCCTGCTGGCTCTTCTTGGAAGCTAAACAGCAGTATACACATATATAATATAATGCTAATGCATGATCCATCTGTCGACGGCCATAATATCTCGTCGATTATATTACGAAACAAAATAACGGTCTTAGTAGCTGTTTAATTAGACAGTGAGATGATGCAGGGGCGTGGTACAGTTACAGTGTGCGTTTTCAGTACTACCTTATATATTTATTAGTTTGGAGTAATATAAAA